GAGCCCAGCAGGTCGAGGCTGCGGTGGCCGGGAGCGGCCACTGCACTCCAGTCTGGGCGACAGAGTGAGACTCCAACTCAAAAAAAAAAAAAAAAAAAGAAACAAGACACAGGTATAAGACGGTAGAGTTATCGTGGTAACTTTTGTGTAAAAATTTTGGAGGAAATTAGAATACATATTCATATTTGCCTGTATATACATAAAGAAACTTTAGAGAGATGCGAGGGGGGACCCAAAAACCCTGGAATTTATTACAAATTGTTTAATGTAAATCACCTTCAAAGTACTCTGTCTGATGCAATAAAACCTATTGAAATGCTTTTTCCACTGCTCAAAACAGTTTTTGAACTTGTCAATTTTGATGCCTCTTAGTGCTTCTGCTGTTTTTTTGTTTCACCTCTTCCACATTGGCAAAAAGTTTTCCTTTGAGGACTTTTTTTTTTTTTTTACAAGGGCAAACAAAAACAAGTCGTTTGGGGTGAGATCACGTGAACAGGGAGGGTGGGGCACCGGGGTCATGCAATTTTTGGTCAAGAACTGCTGAACACTCCTTGTCGTGGTGGAAGAATCAGTCACCTGTTTGCCACAACTCGGAATGTTTCTTCCACAAATCGTGACACAACCCTCTCAAAACTTCCAGATAAAAACTTTGGTTGACCATGTGATCCAGAGGAACAAATTCTGAGTGTGCTACAAGAGGTCCGTCCTCCAAAAATATAATTCAAGTTTTTTGGGGTCCCCCTCCCTGGGGTGTGTCCACCCCTATACACGAGAAACTGAGAACATGGGATACACGTGAGGGGAAGGGTTAAGAACCAGGTGTATGAATGGAGGGCTTTCATCACAGAGCTGTCTACATGTTTTGCATTTTGACTTCTGCGTATATACTCCCACACAAAAAGTAACGAAAACAACTGCAAAAGGTCCAGGAATAGCTCACATTTCTCTCAGCTTTTTTCTGGGTGAACCAAGTCTTGGATTAAAAGTTCCAGGTGTTGCTGAGCCTTTCTCCTCTCTGGGGGGTCAAGGGAGCCAGAGGGGCTTCATCAAACTACAGGACCTGACTGGCTGCTGATCCTGTTCTGCTCGGAAGACCCCATCTGTCCTGCAGGTAGTGCTGGGACCCTGTGGGAGCCCTACACATCCAAGCTCAACGTTCCCTGGTGAGTCCATATGAGCACATTGTTTAAATCTAATAATCCTCTGTGCAATGTCAGCTGGTGCCTTACAGTGCAGGAAGGAGGACCTGCCAGGAAGTGGGATGACGCGACAGGGCACACTACCAGAAGCGGGGAAATACGGCCCCCAAAGGACTGGCCCAAGGCTGGGCTGGGCCCAAGGCTGGGCCCGGCTCTCTGCTGGGAGGACACTGCTGGAGCCTGCCCCGGCCAGGTGGCCTGCATAATGTTTATGCTCCTCGTTGCTCAGTTGCCAGATAAACCTGAATGATTCTGGAGCATGCCAAGTGAGCGGCCTGCCGGCCGTGGACACCAATCTAGGTCAGCTTGCTGTTTTACAGGCATGAGACAGACAGGACTATTTAGACAGCTGTAAGTCCTCTTGGAGTAAAATCTTATTACCGTAGATGAAAAAGCACTTTGGGAGAAAAAAAAAATCTAACAGTGTCCTAAAATAATATGCTGAGGTTAGATGACTTTAGTGTGCTTTCAAAAAGATTTGAGAGGCAGCGAACACACATGGGTGAAATCAACACCCGTTCTGCCTCGATCTGCTCTCTTGGAAGAGATTTGTGTATCTGGCTTCAAAAGTCAGGACTGGAGCCTTGGAAAGAGACTTACAAATAATGATGAGGTAAAAAGGTTTCCTTAGGATGGGGATCAGCTCACATATTTCCCACTGATTCTGGATTAGCTCTAAAACATAGTGGATTCGATAATGACTTGTGGTCATGTTTGCGTTCAGATCTGAAATCCGACCAAGGCCGCTAGACAACTTTGTGTCACTGGCCACTGGATTTGGGGCGGAGGCTGGGCAGGCCATGACTGGGGACAGGGCATGCCGGCCACAAGCAGAAGGGCTTCTCTGCTAGCGTCACATGGCATCAGAGCGTGTGGGCTGGGGCGAGTGGAGGGTGAGTGGTCAGAAATGCATGTCTCTTTCGCAGCTAGTGTGTCCCCACAGGACAGTTAATTAAGCAAGACTGATCCGCATGGCCTGAAGTCACACACATTCACTGCCACCTGGACCAGAAAGCCTGTCATTGAAAGCGTCTCCCCTTTAAAAGTAAAAACTACCCTTTATTGAGGACTTCCTAGGTGCTGTGAAATTCTCACAACATTCATCGATTACTCCCGTTTTCCAGATGAGGAAACGGAGGTGTGGAAAGATTTTGTGACTTTCATAAAGCCACAGAGGCAAATTTGAACTCAGATCCACAGCCTCTCATTGAAACATATGGTGCCAACGCAGTGGGAAACCAGCAAGCTGTCGGGACGGACACAAGTGGTTAAGTCCCAGACACGTGACTTGAAATTTCATGACTGGGGCAAGACTTTGGCCTAAAAGCAAAGTGGGTTGCTGTCGAGTTCCATTTCAATAATGCATGGGATGGTCAGGCTGCCCTCTTTTAAATATTTATCCATCTGCTTTGCTTCATAATTAGTAAGAAAGCGATACAGGATGTGCCCTTTTAAAGAGGATATTAAACCTCGTGGTTATGATCGTTTTCCTCCTGTCCTTGGCTGCCCAAACCAGGCCTCCAGATACATGTTCCTCCTGCCAGAGACATATCCGCATGCCCTGAGCCCTCCCCACCCGGATTCTTTGGTTTCTGACGCTTCACCTTGTCCTATGACACAGGCACGTGGGCTTGAGGGCCTCCAGGCTGAGGCCACGGCTCCAGGCCCTGCCTGCCTGCACGCTGCCGCCTGCAGCCGGGGTTACAGCCCCTCTTCTGCAGGGAGTCCATCCAGGTGAGATGCCTCTGCCTGAAGCTCTCTTCTGGGGGCCTGGGGGTGCTCAGAAGGAGGATGGCAGTCTGAGAGGGCTGGGGGTCCAGACGGTTGACCTTCTGCTCTGGGAACACTGCGTCCTCCTGAGGCCCCAGCCACAGTGGGGGGGTTCAGCCCTTTTTCATAATCTCACTGGGACCCGACGGGACTGTCCTGCTGACCAGCTTCTAAGCAAAAGCCTCAAGTGGCAGGACCCTGTGCAAAGGACTATGTGCAGGACTGCCTGACTGGGTCCCCTGACGAGCCCACAGGCTCAGATGCCTCCGGAGGTTACCTGGGGTCCCTGCTCCGTTCTGACATCGAAGGGGTCTCCCACAGGCCGCTTCTTGGCATATTCCACGCTCCGCCTGACAAACTCAGCGTAGACCTGCTCTTCCACAAACACCCTGGAGGCGGCTGTGCAGCACTGGCCTTGGTTGAAGAACACTCCCTGATGGGCACACTCCACTGCCAAGTCCACTGGAAAGGGAGGGGAGGGGGAGGAGGGCGGAAGCGAGAGGAAGCGATTAAGTCGTTAAAGCGGGACTGGCGACAGCTGCAACTCTAATTGCCCACACAAGAAAACAGGCCCCAGGATGGCTGCATTTCGGAAATTAATTTTGTTCTCAGCATTTCCCAGGGAGGATGGGAAAATGGATTTTGGGTCCACCAAGGTTGGGGTAAAATCAGTTCCCTGGCTGCAGGACTTGTCAGTACCTTTAATATGCGAATGAGCACAGAGTTGTAGCATCTCCCATTTCTCTTGCCCATGGAACCCTCTCCTCCCCCTTTTCTGGAGGACTGACTAATGTTCTACAGAATAAACATCGGCAAGTATTGGTGTAGGCCAACTGGCAAGAACTTTCTTTTTTGAACTGGGGTCTCACTCTGTTGCCTAGGCTGGAGTGCTGGGGTACAATCATGGCTCACCACAGCCTTGAGCTCCTGGGCTCAGGTGATCCTTCTGCCTCAGCCTCCTGAGTAGCTAGGATTACAGGTGTGTGCCATTATGCCTGGCAAATTTTTTATTTTTTTGTAGAGACAAGGTCTCCCTGTTGCCTAGGCCAGAGAACTTTTAAAGGAGAGAATATTGCCTGGCGTGAGTGAAGGAAGGGTCTTATTAAGTAAGCAGCACCGTGTATGACTTAGAAGGGCTGGATCTGAGTTGTAGATCAGACACTGAATTAAAACCAGGAACTGAAACTGAGCCGGAGGGTGCTTAGTAAGAAAGATTTCAGGGATATGCTTAATGGAGGAGAATGGGTCGTCACTGACATTTATGGAGGGGCTTCTAGTGCTTGCCACCCCCCCACTAGTGCTTGCTTAGGAGATACAACTCTCCTCTCTGGGCGTTGGAAGGAGACCTGTTCTAAGTCCATCGGGGCAGCTCGGGGTGGCGGGGGGTGCTGCCCTTGGCTCTGAGAACGAGACCACTGCTGCTTGACTGAGTCTTCTAAGTTGTGATGGCCGAAGTCTGGCACCATAAGCCTCTTGGCCCTCTCTGTCCCCCCACCCTGTGGTTGGCCAGGACAGGTGCCAACTTGGAACTGCCCCTCCCCCACAATAACCAATTCATTTCCTGCTCCTGACGGGAGTCGGGGGTGGCAGCTGAAGGGGTCGGGAATGGTGGCTTGCTAGCCTTGATATCATGCCTGGGATGTTGGTTATGTCAGGATGTAATTTGTGGACTGGCACTGCCCGAAGAGGGGTAGGAGGTGGTTCATAGCGTGTTTTCATGGCCCTTGTGAGTGAAACTGAGCCCCAAACAGAACGAGTCCTGGACTTTGGCTGCAGTTTACCTCCCTGGGAAGAAGAGAGGACAGGCTCCGGGCCAGTGGGGCACCCGGAGGTGGTGGCCCAGGGATGCCAGTCGGGAGTCCTGCTCTTCGTGATTGAAGCTTGGGACCCCCAGTGTGGATCACGGTGCCCAGACTGTTCATGAGGCTCCAGAAACCATTTGTAGCACAAGGGAGCTCCAGCCCAGGCAAGAGAGGGGCAGTCCCTAACCCAGCTGCCCCTTCTTTCCTCAGAGTGTGTTTCCTCTCCCATCCTCTCTTCCACTGAAAGCCAGCTGCAGGGAAAGGAGCTGATAAATTTATACCTTAGTGAGAATTTGTGCCAGGGTCATTTTTCTCAGGGATATTTACAATCCCAACCTTATCTGAGTTGGGAAAATCCCTTTGCCCATCCTCCCTGGGAACAGGTTTTGTTCTCCAGGACAGGAATTTCTGGCACACCCATGGACAGGTGGGGGAGGTCATCCTTTAGGGCAAAGTTGCTTCAAGGCACTTGGGAAGTCAAAGCTTTTGACAACTGACCCTGTCAGCAGGTACCTTCTCCCCTCGTTAGACATGGCAGCCAACAAAAGTATATATTTTAATATTGGGTCATGTTGCTCTAGCAAGACACAAGCTGCTCCCAGGTGGCCGGACAGGTGGCTTTCCCTGGGAAGGTGTGGTGCAGGCAGAGAACCTGACCACGGGAGTATTTTGGAGGATCAGCTGCTGCCGTCCTCCTCTGACTTGTCAGGGCTGAGACAAACAGGGAAGAGGCATCTCAGTTCTGCAGGGCGTGGAAACACAATAGGAAATACTGGCTTGGGGAGGCAGAATGATGTTGCCTGGGTGGGTAGCAGCTGTCTTCCTCCCAACCAGGAACCACGTGGAAAAGCTGGGCCTGCTCCTTGGGGCCCCAGCTCTGCTGGGAGAGGAAGGTGAAGCTAATTTTGAGAGGCAGCAACAAGCCCTATCCTCCTTTCCAAGACAGCTTTCTGTCAGCAAGAAAGCTGGTGGGTTTATCTTATTATTATTATTATTATTATTATTATTATTATTATTGACAGGGTCTCACTCTGTCGCCCAGGCTGGAGTGCAGTGGCACGATCCTGGCTCACCGCAGCCTTGACCTCCTGGGCTCAAGCGATCCTTCCGCTTCAGCCTCCTGAGTGGATGGGACTACAGGTAGGCACCAGTATGCCTGGTTAATTTCTGTATTCTTTGTAGAGATGAGGTCTCACTCTGTTGCCTGGGCTGGTCTCCCAGGCTCAAGTGATTCTCCTGTCTCGCCTCCCAAAGTGCTGAGATTACAGGCATGAGCCACCGCATCTGGCCCCAAAGTTGGCGTTTGGCCTCCATTTGCCTGTCTGGCTGGTAGACTGCAGGCTGGAGGACCCAAGTGGAAGCATTCCCACTGAGTGTGTGCATCTCTTTCTTGGTTGGTTCTAAGTGGGGGCCGGGAAGTGGAGAGAGGCTGGTGGTGGACCTGGAGCCCCAGCCCAGACGGGAAGAGACTCACGGTCGGCGTCAGCACACACGATGCACGGATTCTTCCCCCCGAGCTCCAGTGTCACCCTCTTCAGATTGCTCCGGGAGGCTGCTTCCTTAACCAGCTTTCCAACCTTCAGGATAAAGCAGATGAAAGTAAACCTCAGGCATGGCTGAACTTGACCCAAATGCATACATCAGTGAATGTCCTGGACAAGCCTGGGAGGCAGCGCCACCACCGGCCTCTGCCTGGCCGCCCGGCCTTGATGGGGTTGCTCTGCTGTCCCGGCCTCTGCTTTTATCTCCCATTTCAGACCTTGGCATCCTGGAACCCTTGGTCTGAGCCGCTCCACTTACAAGATTGGGGGGGAGCCTCTGAAAGGCTGCACAGCTGGCTAGGAGCAGAGATGCCTGCTCACCTGTCCCGGTTCCCGCTCCTCTGAGCCCAGCAGACCGTTATAGCGTTCAAGGGACCAAGGGGCAACTCTTCTATCCTTGCTAGTGAAATCGGAAATTCCAAAAGCCCAGCAGGAGAGGCAGTTCTGTGTGGCTCTTTAGTGTCATCTGAGGGAACCTCCAAGAGCCAGAGAAACAGAAAGTCTAGCTGGTCACCAGGAAGAGAAGAAGCCAGTTCTCTGGAAACATCTCTAAGACTGAGTGCTACCCCAGTCAGAGAGGGAAGGAGTGGGTGCACTATGAAATTACAGAAGAACCACTCACCCAGCAGTAATGCTCAACCCCAGGGTGCCTGACTGATGGGGTCTCTCCAAGCATCCACCATACCACCAGAGAGGCGGGTTAGCCCAGCATAACGTGGTGACTTATCTCGGGCAACAAGTAAAGCCAGGCACCATGAACTGAGAGTGGAGAAGGCCCTCAGAAGACGGGTGCAGACACCTATCCCAGAGCAGACTGCTGGCGAGAGGCAGAGCTCTTCCAGGCCCAAGACAGTTCTCCCTAGCACTGAGGTGTGAGTGCATCTGATGAATCAGTTAGTCTCCTGGCAATGGCCTGAATGAGGTCTGGAATTGACCCACAGTGACAGTGTTTGTCTCCAAGGAGGATTACAACATCCATCAAGACTGGACTAAGCTAGGCAGGAGATGGGGACACTGATAGCATGAAAAATGCTTCGTTGTTCTTTTTTATGTACAGAAGAAGTACTTTCTCATAGAAAATAATTCCACATGCAGATGCCTGCAAATTAAAGAGGAGAAAGTCTTCACCCATGCCCCCAGACCCACCCCAGCGGTGGCCATTGATAATAATTTCTTGGGAACCTTTTCAGACAATGTTTATTTTACACATATACTTTTGTTAATGGGCTCATATTGTAGATAATTTCCGACAGTTTGCTTTTTTGGGCTTCAACATAGATCAGAGAATGCCTTCCTTGTTGTAATGGCTGTGAAACATTTCATAGAACGGATATAACACGCTTGAAAATGTGCCCCTGAAGGCTCATGAGAATATTTCTCCAAGTCTGACTTTGAAGTCAGTGTCTTCAAAATGGAACTTCTAAATGCAGTTTTTCACTTTTACTTTTCTGATCAGTACTGCCAAGTCACCCTCCGGGATAGTGTCAGTGGGTTCCTGCTTCCCCACAGTCTCACATTTCCATTTTTACCCATCTGACAGGCAAAAGGACAATTTCATGTGAATTTGCATTTTCCTGATTACCAGCAAACTAGGTTAGCTTATTGGGAATTCAGTATTTCTGTTCTCTGAATTGCCCATTTTCCCACTATTCAGTTTGGTTTTTTCATTGATTTGTAGGAGTGCTTTACATATGAAGGATACATATTCTTGGACAGCTGCATACATTGCAACTGCTTTTCTCAGTAATCTCTTAACCTTGATTATGAATATTGTTTACTATATGGATGTTTTATGCTTTTACTTCATTTTATCACTCAATCTTGTCTTCTAAGACTTCTGAGTGCCACTAAATAATTATTTCATTTGGAAACTGGGACAATGGCCGTCTTAAAACTGAGTGTAATGTAGTAAAACACAGTCAAATTTAGAAGAAAAGCAAATCATATTTAGGCCTGTCAAAGGAAAGCTTTGTGGGTCTCGAGTAGCATAGCCACTGTTGCCTCTGTCCCAGCCTGGGAGGAGGGTTACCTCTGTGGACCCGGTGAAGGCTATCTTGTTGATCTGAGGGTGGGAAGAAATTGCTGCTCCCACTGTGGGTCCAAATCCTGGCACGATGTTCACCACACCTGGAGGGAACCCAACCTGGGAAGAGACCGAGATGGCATTTGGAGGAGGAGAACTTACCATCACCCCCCACAGACCCACGTTTCGGCCAAGAGCTGGAGTTGCAAGAGGTCCCCAGCTGAGCAGGATCCCCCCAGGAAAGCCTGGGCCCAGCTCCGGCGTCCACCCCAGGACCCAGAGTCGGCCGCCTTGAGCCCCTGGGGGCTGGCCTGGGCTCCTCTTCTCCCTCCGCCAGCCCAGTGTGCAGGCTGAGCCAGGGCGAGACACCCACTTCTCCTTCCAGGCAGGTCCCCAACTCAAAGATGGCCTCGAGCAAACGTGCAGTGGTGCTGCCAAGTGGCTGTGGCCCTCCTGTGGCAGAGCACCATTCTGCGTGGTGTGTGTGTGTGTGTACATATGTGAGTATATGTGTGTGTGTGTGTGTCTGTGTGTGAGCGTTCATGTAGGTATGTGCATGTGTGAGTATGCATACATATGTGTGTATATGAGTGTGTATGTGGGGGTGTGTATGAGAGCGTGTGTGTGAATGTATACAGGTATGTGTATGTAAGTGTGTGAGAGAGTATGTGTGTGAGTGTGTATGTGTGAGTGTGTGTATATATGTGTGTGTATGAGTGTGTGTGTGAGAGGGAGTATGTGTGTGTGTTGAAGAGTGCCTTGGTCACAACCCCCAGACTCAGAGGCACCTGCAAAATATCCTCCCCAGCTTCAGCTTTCATTTTTTAATCAGGTTCACTGAAGTTCCAAATGGCGATGAGCTATTCCTTCCTCAAAGTTCTTTGTGTGTTCAGCCTGGGCTATACCTGGAGCCAGCCCTTCCTGAAGGCAGGAACTGCCATGTCTTTTACACTCAGGCCTCACATTTTGCACATACCAAACCTCCTTATTACCAAGAACACCATAGAACCAACAAGGTGGAGGACATGATTCCCCACATATCCTGTGTCTTCCTTAAAACACATTATTTAGCAAGTTAAGATATCAGGGCATGGTGCTTACTTGCATCTTTAGTTTTTTAGCTACTACTGTTTAACAGTTGTGATGGCCTCAAGCAAACGTGCAGTAATGCTGCAAAGTGGCTGTGGACCTCCTGTGGCAGAGCACTATTCTGCGCGGTGTGTGTGTGTGTGTGTGTGTGTATGTGTGTACATATGTGAGTATATGCATATGTGTAGGTATGCATGTGTGTGCATGCATGTGTGTGCATGTGTGAGTATGCCTACGTATGTGTGTATATGACTCAACCATGCCCGCCATTACTAGTGAAACTGGCCTGATATTGGCTGTTGCCTCTGAGCAGCCAGGATGTTCATCCCAGGACATGCATTCCCAAGATGTGCATCCCAGCAGCATCTACTCAGCTGAGGAGGGACATGAATGCGCCTTTTCTCCCATCCCTCCTTTTTTCCTGTTTTTTTTTCCTTCTGTTTTTGCTACATACAAGCCGGGTATGTCTGGAAGGAGGCGTGCCTGAGGGTCTGTTTCCCTAAGTTATAGCTCCCTGGTGGTGGTGCGGAGAGGTGGGGGAGGATTGCCCACAGAGCAGCAGGCACTGATGAGGAGGCTCCTGGGGAACCTGGCTGGCTGCAACCACTCAGCTGAGCAGGTGAGGTAACCTCTCCAGAGAAAAAGACCATTTCATATGCCACAAATGCAAAGCCCAAAGCACCTCCCACATATCTGGCTCCCTCTTGGGTGACCCACCTACAGATTCTCTAGACAAAACATTGGGTCCTAACCCATAGATTTGAGCCCATAATAAGAGTGAAGTATTCTCCTTAAGATCACTGGGCGGAATGGAGTTTCTTACAGCTCAGCGACCACAGACAGGAGAAGGAACGTGCAGTCGCCAAGCAAAACACAAGGAGTCATTCCCTTCCCACTTGGCTGTGTGCAGGCTGCCACAGCCCCATCTCGTGACGGTGGCCTGGTTCCTAGGAGTGGAATTGTTATCAAGAACACCATGATATTTTCTTTCTGGACGTCTCACCTCTTTGATCAGAGAGCCGAGGTAAAGGGCGGTGAGGGGTGTCTGCTCCGCCGGCTTCAGGACCACGGTGTTCCCACAGCAGAGGGCGGGAGCCAGCTTCCACACCAGCATCAGCAGGGGGAAGTTCCACTGCGACAGATCACAAAGGCCTTGGGGGTCCGGCCTGCCCCCATCGCACCCCAGGTGCCCACTTGCTTTACGTGGTCTAGATTTGGGGAGCAAGTGGTCACGTAGGCATGTGCAATGACCAGAATTGCATCCCTTCACAGTGCTAGCTTTGCAAAGAGGATTCTGCTGGGAGTGGACTATCCTCCTCGCCTCTGTAGGCCCTTTTCCAGTCCTCACTTTACACTGTTACCTGCCCCTCCAGCGCTCGGCCCCGACTTCTAGCTGTTTCCTTCTGGGTAGCCAGTCACTTCCACGTCTTTGCCTAGGCCCTTCCCACTCCCTGGAAAACTCTCTTTTCTTGCTGACCAAGTCTTTCTGATCTTCAAGGTCCACTGAAGAGACCCCTCCCTGGCATGTTGACCACCCTGACCACTCTGGTGGGAATCCATGGCACCTTCCGCTGCATACCTAGAGCTGGCCCCTTGTGAGCAAGGATGGGACCTAATCCCTCTCAAGAGCCCTCAAGCACAGAGCTCTATGCCACAGAGCAAAGGCTTGCTCAGTGCTGGTGCAATCAGATAAAAACACACCAGAAATTGGTTCCAAAGGACACAGGGCACGGGGCGGGGGGTGGGGAGCTACAAAGTATCATCAAGGAAGCCACCATACTTACTGGAGTGATGGCTCCACACACACCGATGGGCTCGTGCCTGGTGAAGCACACGACATTTTCATCTGGAAGAGGGTCACATGGTGAGAAGGACATACTCACTTACTTGGGGTTATGAATTTCAAGTGGTAAAAAGACAAGAAAGGACCTCAGAAGCCCATAAGGGTGCCAGCCAGCTCTGAGTACTGTCTATCATACCAAGAAGTGATTTGAGCTCAATTTCAAAAGTGGAATTCTTTACAAGAAGAACTGGCACAACACCATTTTTTGGGGGGTGGGGGTGGGAGAAGGCACCAGGAAGGGTGACTTGGGGCAAACCATCAGGAGGGGATCTGAAAAGGCTACCTGATTAATGAGAAGACAGAGCCCTAAAGAGCCCCCCAAATGAGGATACAGTCCATCCTGCTCACCTGTAGGGATGGTCTTGCCCTGGATTTTGTCTGCCCACCCTGCAAAGTATCTGAGGGTTCTGATACAGCCTTCCAGGTCGATGAAAAAGGCATGAAGGAACGGCTTCCCCGTATCCATCGTCTCCAGAGTCTGCAATAACAAGATGACCCCCCCTTTAAAAAAAAAACTGTCAGCAGGTTTTTAAACACGGAGGTGGAAAGGGTTCAGGATGTTGGGGAAAGAGCACAGCCCTGGGACATCACTCTCTAGACCTCACAGTTGTACAGGTCTCTTCAGAAAGCATGACACTACATTTAAAATAAGACCTGTCCCAGACTGCAAGGACTGTTTTTCTGTCAAAACACTTAAAGTGGAGTGGGTGGTAGGGGGTTGTTGGCCAGAGCATAGGTGCGTGTCCAGCTTGAAGGACCCTCGGATGCAAGGATGATTTGAAGCCTCGCTGGGAAGAAGTATACGTTCGCATCTGGTCTTCTGTGGAGCACAGGGCTTCAGCTGGGTGACCGGGACGTGTGTCCTTGTGCATTCCCAGGAAGCTGTCTGGAGGTTAACTGACTTCAGGGTGGCTGGAGAGGGGCCCGGGGAGGGGGAGGAGAGGGTGCTGGCTTCCTCTAACAAAAGAGAAAGGGAAAACGTGGGCTCTCCTTTTTGGCTGGGCTGGCCAGCATGGCTGTGGAAAGTGACTGAGCCCAGAGGGGTCGTGCCCCCGGCACAAAGATGCCATCCGTCCCAGCCACACTGGGCAGCCGGATGCAGGGTCGGAAGGGAGCAGGCTCGCCCTGCTGCTGAGGGAGGTGATCACCCAGGGCGAGTGTGTATCCACTCAATGGCGGGGATTCTTTTCTATTTCCAGCCTGGGTGGAAGAGAACCCCTTTGTCCCTCAGACAAGCGGCCCCAGTTGAGCCCAGCGCTGAAACCACCAGTCATCATCTCTGCAGGAAGTGGCCACCCTGACACATAGCCCAGGGCTGGATTCTTGTGGAAGAGTCAGTGAATGAGATGAGGATTGTACAAGGAGGAAAGGCCCCTCCTTGTGTCCAGGGCTTTAACCCCAGTGTGTGCCTGCATGTCTCACCCCTGAGTGTGACAACACTTCCCACCTCAAGGTGCCAACATGGAGGCTGACAGAGCCCAGTGATTTGGCCAAGGCCAGCTGGCTGAGCAGAAGCACAGCCGGCACTGAATTCGGGGTGTCTGACTTCCAGCCAGCACAGCGACACCCTTTAGGCTACTGCCCCTGGACATCTGCATCTGGAAAGATGCAGGAGGGCAGCTGGAGAAGCCTGGGGTTACCCCCATTGACCTTTGCTTTAGGGCTGGGCCTCGTCCCCTCTAAATAGGCGGCAACTGCTTCTGATGAACCCTATCTGAGCGGCCTTGGGTCATCCCTGAATCTCTCCCTGCCTCAGTTCCCTCACCTGTACAGTGAGAATAATAACAGGCCAGTGTGAGAGTGAAAGGAGTTCAGACACATAAAGCACTGGCCACAGCGCCCACCCACGGTGAGCACGACGTGAGTGTTCACATGATGACAGTGACAGTTACAGCGAGTATTGTCATCATCCCTGGAGGCACCAGACATACATGTAGTCAGCAGTTCTCACCTGGGGGCCCCAAGGAGACAGAGCTGTGAGTTGCTGAAGATGATAGGACTGGTCTGGGTCCAGGGCATGTGTCTATCCCAACAGCTGCCCCTCAGGGACCAAGTCAGGCCAATGTGACATTGAGTACACTGTACCACTGGTTCCTACTTTGAGTTACAACTTTTATTTTTCCAGGGGAAATATAGCAATTGCCAATAATGCCAAACGGCCTCCAGGATTGAGCTACCCCAGACAGTATCTGCATAGCTGGCTACAAAGCCAGAAGTTTACTCTTGGTCTTTTTCTGGGATGGAACAAGAGAGAGGATATTCACATGGCATTGTGGGTAAATGAGGGACATACAGACAATGTTCTCTCCCCAGTCCAGGCCTACCATCTCTGGTTGGGTAACCTTGGACAGGTTACTTAACCTTCCTGGGCCTCAGTGTCCTCATCTCTGAAATGGGATAATAAATACTACAGGTCAAGTGACTATGACAAGTCGGGTATATGGAAAACATTCAACCGGCATTGGCTATTTTTCATTATTAGCTCAGGCAATTTTGCTTACTGGAGTGACAGCATGAGTTCGCTAGATTTGTTTTATGGAATCTGCCCAAGCAAAACCCCAGGTCACGATAGGTTTAGGGAGGAAATTCTTTAAAAAAAAAAAAAAAGATCTGCAGGTGAGTGAGCACACAGGATTGAATTTGAGAAATCAGGTGTCAGCCAGTCGCCTTTTAAACAACATGTTATTGTGGCTTGGGCTTGAGTGAACCACAGCCACTCCTAAGCTTACTTCCTTTAACATTTTAAGGGAAAAGGGTGCTGTCTGAAAAATTAACAAATCTTGATTCTCAGATACCAAGAATGACAAGACAGCATGGGGGAACTGGCCCTGTGCTCCCAGTACAACAAGGCTTCAAAGGAGGGGCCCAGATATGATACTGAGGCTGCAAGGAGGAATGACCAGGGAGGGCAACCATTCAGGAGCTCCCAGCCTGAGCACCCAGGGAGCTATGGGCACAAGTTGCCACAGCAAAGGATAGCAAGTCAGGGGCCACCAGATGTCCCACATCTGTTTCCAGACTCTGAACACAGCAGCAAATATCTAGCTCTATCAAACCAGGGAGCCAGAGAACGGGCTACATGAAAACGCAGGGAAACCCTCTCAAGGTGGAGCACACAGGCACTTTCCTATCATGTGGTCAGACTCTTAAAAATCGTATTTGCAGGCTGGGCTTGGTGGCTCAGCCTGTAATGCCAGCACTTTGGGAGGCCGAGGCAAGTGGATTGCCTGAGCCTGCAGGTTCGAGACCTGCCCGGGCAACTTGGCGAGACCTCGTCTCTACAATAAATCAAAAACTAGCCAGGCGTGGTAGCACACGCTTGTAGTTCCAGTTACTTGGAAGGTTGAGTCGGAAGGATCACTGGAGCCCAGCTAGTCGAGGCTGGGGTGGCCAGGAACATGCCACTGCACTCCAGTCTGGGCTACAGAGTGAGACTCCAACTCAAAAAAAAAAATCGTATTTGCCAGTAATTCTCCTGTCCCTTTCACGCTGTGACAGAGAGCTGGCTCCTATTTCCTGCAGGCGCAGGCAGGAGCGATTTGCTGGGTTGTGTTCTGCGTTCCCCCCACGCGGTGGCTGCTATCAAAACACAGCCATGCGGACCTATGGGGCAGGTTGGGGATGGAGGTGGCTTTGTGGCTGATGCTCCAAGATGATACTGACGCTGGAGCACAGGACGGGGAGGGGTGCCTAGGGCACATCCTCTCTTGCTGGCTATTAGTCTACACGGACATTGCCGACCGATGAGCTCATGGGGGTGAAAACAGAAATGTTTTTGAAAAAGCCAGTTTGGCAGCTTGAGAGCTGAGGCTGGCTTGAGCTGCAGGAAGAAACCAGAGGCTCCTCAGACAGCAGCGCCTACCCTGGGAGGGAGCTACTCTCTCGGTGAATGTGCCCGACTGGCCACCTGGGGAGGAAGGCAGGCAAGCTGGAGTTTCTGTGCATTTATGCCCTTGGGGGATTGCACCCAAGGGTGTCTGGAGTGCCTCCACCCCCAAGAAGCACATTCAGGGACAAAAGCAGTTCCCGGGTCCCACCAGAAACTCTCTTTTTAATAGAGTGGCCACTCTACGGCTAGTTCCTGACATCAGAAAAACCACTTTTCCAAGCCAGTGGCCAAAAAGGAGATTTCCTTCCCTACAAACTGGGCCTTGAGGTTTGGAACAAGTTTTCAAAACAGGAGTCTGAGACATCCAAGGGTGGGATACCCAGGATGCAAAGGGTCTCAAGGCCCACAGTGGCCCCGAGGTATCCTCTGATCACCAAAGACCAAAAGAAGGTCTAAGAATCCTGTGAAATAATGCACTTGTACCTTAGTCAGCCTTCACAGTCCAACCTCATGGGATGCACTGCATTAATATCCCCATCTCACCGCTGAGGAACTAAGGTGTCTAGAAATTACGGGCCCACAGGGCATGTGGCTCAGGTTGGAACCTGGGTCTTCACACAGCATTATTATGATAACTGCTATTATTAATAATAGCTGCTATCTATTTAGTGCTTACTTCATGCCAAGGTCTGCTCAGAATTTTAAATGGGCCGGGCGTGGTGGCTCAAGCCTGTAATCCCAGCACTTTGGGAGGCCAAGGCGAGGGGATTGCCTGAGTCCATGGGTTCACGACCAGCCTAGGCAACATGGGGAAACCTTGTCTCTACAATAAATAAAAAAATTAGCCAGCATGGTAGCACATGCCTGTAGTTCTGGCTACTTGGGAGGCTGAGGTGGAAGGATTGCCAGAGTCCAGCAGGTCGACACTGGGGTGGCCGTGAGCATGCCACTGCACTCCAGCCTGGGCAACAGAGTGAGACTCCAACTCAAAAGAAAAAAACTTTTTTTAATGGATCATTTTCATGACATTTATATATTGTTATTAGTGACATTTTATATGCATAAATAAATCTCAGAGAGTTTTAACAACTTGTCCAAAGCCATACAGCTTGCCAATGGCAGAGCTGGGATTTGAACCTAGGTCTTTCATACACTGAAGTTTCCTGTATATAACCAGGCTATCCTGCCTTTACCCCCACTCTACACATACTTGCCATTGTCCAGGTCAGGGATGACACAGGAATGATTTTATTATCTTTTTGGTCACAAATGAGTTGGTAATTACCTCTTTTTTTTGTTTTGTTTTTGAGTTAGGGACTCACTCTGCGGCCTAGGCTGGAGTGCCCTGGTAGGATCACATCTCATTGCAGTGTTGACCTTTTGGGCTCAGGCTATCCTTCTGCCTCAGCCTCCTGAGTAGCTGGGACTCCAGGTGTGTGTGCAGGACCATGCCCAGCTTATTCTTCTATTTTTTGTAGAGATGAGGTCTCACTATGTTGCCTAGGTTGGTCTCGAACTCCTGGGATCGAGCAATCCTCCCGCCTCAGTTCTGGGATTACAGGTGTAAGCCACCACTCCCAGCCAGGAGTGATTCCAAGTCATATGGGAATAATTTTTTCTGTGTCATGAAACCTGTGATTTCATGAATATTGTTACTCAGGATTTAGTTAAACTTAAGTTTAAAAGGGAGTTAATATAGAAAAGTTAAGTATATTAATGTACAGGTGGGACCAGAATATGGCCTACCCTGTGATGACCATCTGTGAATGTCCCAAGTCTGGGAACTACTGATGTAGCTGAACTTCCTATAGGCAACTTCTTGGTCAAGAAGCTGAGCTGCTGGGGACAAAAGTCTGACTTCAAAGGGAAAGGGATGCAGTCCAGGGGCACAGATGCCACCTATTGCCAGAGAGTTACACCTGAAAGATTGGAACAGATCCATGGCCACACAAAACCAGGACCCTGATCTTTTCTCCCACACCCCACGGGGGACAGGACCCTCAGTGAGGCTGGCTCACCCCATGCTAGCCCCTACATGTGTGTACTCACAGCCAGGGTGGCACGGTCCCTCTCGACCAGGTCGGCCAGCTGGTGCAGCAGCTGCCCACGGCTCAGGGCATCCAGCCGGCGCCATGGTGAGCCCCTCTGGAAGGCGGCCTGTGCAGCCTCCACAGCCTTGTCCACGTCGGGCTGTGTGGCCAAAACAACAAAGAGAGGGTGTCATTTTTTGATCCGACCACAGTTTGGGACCACTTAGCTGTCAGTTACAGAGAACAGCAGCCTCTGGCAAATAGGTTGCACCCCACGGCTGCAGCCATTCAAGTGATCTTTTTCTTTTTTTATGTCTTAAGTGTTCTTCAAGATTTCTATAACTGTCAAGTATCAACATTATTTCTGATTATAAAAAGCATCTTACAATATTTTATAAAATAATGGATCTTGAGTAGCTTCTTGGTGACCCAAGTGAGAAAAGATTTTCCACTTGGAAGCTCAGTTTGAATGCACACACAACTCCGCTGTCCACAAATCAGGTGGGAAGGACCTGCCTTGGCATTTTATTTCTGCAGGGAACTGTGGTCCAAGAATAAGAATGAGGAATTCCTGCTTCTTGAGATTGTAGAGTTGACTACGCTGGAACCATCTGTGGACAGGGAGGTACAGGAACTACCATGGAGGCCGTTTTCTCTCCCTTCAGCCTAACTCACCCATTGGGGCAGAACTGGATCTTCTGTGCACTGACAGAATCATTATAACATAACTTTCTTCTCAAAAGAAGGCAAGTAAGGTTAGAGTAGCATCATTCATTCTTATTCTCAGGAAGATAGGCATTGAGGTCCTGGTTGCAAATGGGCCAGGCTCATCCTGCAGGACCCTCTGTACCTCTGTCTCTAGAGAGGTGCAGCACAATGGGACACCAGGCACCAGGCAGGAGCAAGACTCCACTCAGACTCTGTGTCCCCAAATCTTGTTTGAGGGTGAGCAGAAGCTTTGGGACACTTAATTTCTTGTCCCAGGCTCTGGAGTGAGGGCCAGGACCTCTCCAGCTACAGGGGATGCGTTGCTCAGAACAATCACCTAGACGAAGGGAAAAACTGGAACCTGGACCAAGGGTTCTTCTCCCTAGCGACTGTATAGGGCACTTGGGAATCTCATTCCGCATCACGACTTCCCTCCCATGCCATCACATTTTTGTACGAGCTTCTCTGTGCTACTTGCTTTGTAAGCAGTGTGTACTATGAGGTGCCACACAGAGGAAGGTCTGTGCATTTCATGGCTGTCACAAAACTCATGGGGAGGATAAAATCCAAGTCAACATTGTGCACTTGCCCTTCACCCCATCCATGGGCAACATTATCAACACACTGATTAAATGGATCACTCCAGTGCTCCAGTGATTGAGGGGAGGTTTGCAGCTCCCTTCCCTCCATGGAAGAGTTTTACCTCTGACCTCTTTCCCAATGCCACTGACATTCAAAACAGACTTAATGACCTCGAAATGTATACAGGTCACATCTAGAAGTCCCTTAGTCACCGTCTTATCATATAGACCCTGCAGCAGCAATGAGGTTTATACGGCGACAGCTTTCCATGCTTATATAGGTGTCTAGTAGAAAAGAAACCTGGTGGTTACATGACATTACTACTTCCCATGCATCACTTGGGCAGTGAATCTTTTTTCCTTTGAGTCTATTTTTGTTTTAAATGTCTCCTGCCAGAACGCTGCATTTGGTGAAACACATCAGGCGGAAATGCTTTTTAGAGAGATTCTTTAATGCCTCAAGGTTCAAATAATTGATAAAAACCTTTCCTTCAGCCATGTGACTAGGATAGCTGAGGTCATCCTCATAGATGGAGAAACATCTGTCAAAGGAGAGTAACTTTTTTGCAGAGGATTGTCCATAATTGATCCCATCCTAGGCCATGTGTCTGAGGAGAGCACACCAACTTGTGCAGCCAGCCCGGGCCTTACCCCGAGTGTGGGCCAGTTCTGTCTTATAGCTAAGCCAGACTGCTTCCTTATCCTTTGGTTACCTCTAATTGAATTACTTAGAGGAAACAAAAAAAGTACCTACCTTATCTCCTTCTTCCACTTCACATATTTTCTCTAGAGTTGAAGGGTTGTATGTGGCAAACTTTTTTCCACTCTTGGATTCATGCCATTCGTTGTTGATAAATATCTAACCAGGAAAGGAAGTATAACAAATTAGGTTTAAATCAAAGTCATATCATTTCAACATGCTAAGGACCTTAGGTAACGTCTTGTCCGCCTTCTTCCCCGCTGTGTTCCCCTCCTCCTCAACATTTTACAGATGAGATCTGAAGGGAGACAGAGCACCAGCATCACATGACCAACAGATCAACTTAGACTCAGAATCTAAGTTTTCTCGTAATAGAACTAAAGTCATTTAGAATTCTTTCTAAATTATGATTATTATTTTCAACAGTAACATGGATTCATAGAGGAATAGCTGAGTTAAACAGTTAAACGGAGCATGTGAATTGAATCCTATACCCTCATAGACTTTGGGGAAAGATTAAATAGGTTTATGTATATAGTCCTAAGCAATCCACCTGCCCCCAGAGAATAATAAGCATGGATCACTCCCTTCCTCTGTAACACCCTGCAACATTGCCAAGGAACGCGCTTTACAGGGGTTGGAACCATCACACTTGAGTCTACATTAATGCACATCAGCATACCCCCGCCCCGCATTCCCTGTGTTAAGTGTGTATATTCATGTGGGGTTTGATAAAAGCCAGTGTTAGGATGCAAAGTTAAATATCTGGGTTAGAAAATTTCCAGGTCATATTAAGAGATGGAGCAGATAACTGCTTATATTCAGAACCCAATCAATAATCTGCCAAAGTCATTTTGCTGGGAACCTCAATTATCCAGAACACAGCGAGAAGAAGAATTTTTTAAAAAAAGACATTATGTGCAAACTAAAAAAAAAAAGTACAAAGTCTGTACATTGAAAAGTTTGTGCTACTTACTGTTAGTTCAAGCTAAGTTCTAACTGCCTTAAAGGCATCATGTTAAAAGGGAGAACTTTTGGAGAAGAACTAGAAACAGAGGTGATAGACCATACTGAAACACGTTTTGTGCACTGTGTGTATACTGTGTATATGCAGAATGGGGGTCCCGGTTGCCCAGCAAGAGACAGATAACCTTCTGCTGCACCAGCTAGACAGTCATGAGAGCCCATCACAGGGTCAGGAAGTACTCACTTACAGAACCAGTTAACAAGCATTTCATCAAATAAAATGCCATCAATAATGTCTAATTGCAGAATTCGTTCATCAGATTCCAGGTCTGCATCCAAATACATGTGGCACATATAGCTTTATTTTGCTTTTCTTTGAATTGCTTAAAGGAAGAATTGTGTTCCTTGAGGGTTAATTTCAATTATTGTGAAATTGATTCATTTGGAACATTTGACCCCCCCATGATGACAGATGAGAGGGGGAGCCGTGTCCTGTGCATGAGGCTTGGTTACCTTCTCTGCGTTGGGCTCTCCCGTATAAACTACGTAGTTCGTGGGGAAAGAAGCCCTGTCTGTGGGAACCAAGCACAGGAGTCTGTGGCCAAGCAGGTGGGCAGAGACCACCTGTCCCCAGCCTGGAACCGAGAGCTGAGAGCATCCATCACCCATGGGACGTGCCCCTCTGGCTTCTGGAAGCTCAGCACGTCCACGTGAGTCCAGGCCCCCAGGGAAACGCACGAGGAAGAGGCCAGGCTACAATTACAGGTTTATTCTTCCAGCTGAAACCAAATCCAAGAGTTCACTTTTGCCATCCAGCAAGTCATCCCTCGGTAACGGCGAGAAATTAATAAGTGGGAAGAGGAGTTAAGTTCGGGCGGGGAGGAGAGTGCAGCCAGGAAGAGAGGCCCATTTGGAGAAAGATGAAATTTCGTGGGCTAGATAATAGAGACTGCCAGTGAAAACTGCTGATTCTAGGCTCTTCCTGGTATCAATTCCAAGGGGGAGGGAAAATGAGAAGGTGGCAGAAGAGAATATAAATAAGGGGACTGGAAACAGATTGCAATGATCGGATGTCGGCTGCACTCCATCTCCAGGCGTGCTCCTCCAAAAAAAGGTCTCGGTTGTTCCTGACATTCATCCCCGGGCCCTTCCAACCAGGAACCTTAGAAAGTCATTCAGACCGCCTGACTTGAACCACATTTTCCCATCACAATGCTTCTAATTCCCAGAAAATCGCTCTCTTTATTTTACACTACACTGGTAAATCATCCTGTAAGTGGTTTCTACTGTTGATTTTCTCTCCACTAAAGCAAAACAAAAAACACAAATAATAAGGAACGGGTCAGCAAATGTGGCCTACCGGTTATGCTGGCTGCGTTGTTTTGAACTCCAAACCGGGGCAAAGCGTCTGGAAAGGCATCATTGCCTTTGACTTGGGAATTGGTATAAGACAAACTTTATAGAGGTATACAGTTAAGCTACATTGAACTGCAGACAGAATTTACATTTTACCGAAGGACCAGAATGACAAGGAATCAGGACTGAGCTGGAAGATGTCCCTGGCAGAGGGAAGGATGGCACTCATGCGAGTGAATCCTGCTGATGCCATTTCCAGTAACTTCCATTGGACACGAGGCCACTCAGCTAAACTCGGAAGGAGGTTTTCAGAAAAGGAGATTTGGGGGAATTTTATCTTTCATAAAAGATATAATGATAAGTGGTGCTTTAAGGAATCAGAAAGCCTTAAAGAGAATCTCTGCTACTGGAAGACATTTTATAAGGAAAGAAAGAGCCCCCCTAAACTGGAAGGGCCTCATGCCTCTGAGATCTCTGTGGGGACCCCCAAGGAGCTCTCCCCTCTGCAGAATCACATGGCACGACTCTGGAGAACTTAATGTTAAAATCTGAGGACAAATGAAAGGGCTTGGACAAAGTCATCCTTCTGGAAACTGGACGACCCTGTGAAACAGCACCACCGAGGTCGGGGTTCAGACTGACCATCTCTGCGTGTCCTCCGTCAGTGAAAAGCACCATGAGTCAGTCTTGAAAAACATCAGGCCATTGCTGGCTCCTGTGCTCCGCCCGCCTGCCTGCCCAGGGCCTTGGTCCTGCACTTCAGTTTCTTCCTTTTCTCCCCCCCTGTCCCACCCCAGGGCAGGCACTGTCATCTGCCTCTCCAGCCGAGACCCCCTGAGCACTGTGCCAGGGGCTGGCTGCCCATCTGCAGCCACGCCGGCCGCCCAGCCCACAGATGATATGCGGAGGCCTCTGTGGAGATGGGCCAGCAGCAAGGACAGGGCCGGTGGTGGCACTGTCCCCCACAGGTGAGGAGGGAGCAGTTGGAGCCATCATCTCCTGGGACTCTTCAGGATCCCTACGCTCCAGGCCTCCACCTACAACCTCCCCTCAATCTGGATCTCGTACTCGTTCTATTCAACTGGCAAAGGGTCTGCACCCCACCACCCCCACCCATACAAAAGCTACTGGTTGCTCCGGAGCAGGGGTCCTCAAACTTTTAAAACAGGGGGCCAGTTCACTGTCCCTCAGACCGTTGG